GGAAACGCCTCAGTCCTGGGCAACCAGGACAGCTGGTCACCCTGAGAGTGGTTTGGCCTCACAACCCCTCAGAGCCATTGCCTTCACCTACACAATATTCTTTGTGGTAAGAAATATTGTTTTTTGTAGCTCATTCTTGAAGGCTTTATTTCATTCATCTATATGGAAAGAAATAAGCAAAAACAAAGAAAACGACAATAACCAAGACTATTCATAGGAAAAGATGTTACTGACCCCCAATTAATTAGATAATTTCCCCCACTTTCATTAATCAAAGATAGATATAACTTAGTGTGCAAATGATTAAAATCCTAAGTTTAAGAAACTCCATAGGAATTATATCTCTTGGGACCTCTAAAAGGCCCTAGAAACGCCAATAATTACATTATTATATATTATTACATTGTCTGTTATTATTGTTGCTGGCATTTCTAGGCCCTTAGGGATCCAAGGAGAACAAATCTGGCAGACAGTATGTGTCAGGAACATAAAACTTCATGGGCACTTATTATCTGCCTGGTGTGTTCTAAGGACATTACAGTTATTAAATAATTTGTTAATATAAATAATACTCTAATAAGTAGTTGCCAAGTACTGAGCTCTGTGCCCTGCCCTGTGCCATGTGGGAACATGGGCAGTTCCTTTTGCTCCCCTAAGGAGGTGACGGAGATTCAGAAAAGCTGAGCCACCAGCCCAGGGTCAGAGAGCCAGGCAGCCACGGAAGCAGGATACAAACCTAGGTCAGTCTGACACCAAGACCGGGGTTCAATGCCTCCAGACCCACAGTACCATTCCGGTTGGCAGCCTCAGGCTGGGGACTAGCATTCCTTCCTCAACTGAAATGGTGTGGGGTCTCCAAAGGACTTTTGTTTCTTGTTGCCTGCAGGAGCCAGACTGCTCTTGCTGCACTTGGGCAGCAGAGGGCGCCAGAGTGCTGAGTTTGGTCTTGTCCAGCCCTGACATCCCTGGCTGGGCCAGAGCTGGGGGCACTCAGGGTGACCAGGTCTCAGTGGCCCTGATATTTGAAAGCCAGAGCAGGAGTCATGGCCATTCTCTGTGAGAAAGTCAGTGGAACCACTTGTTCCTCTCTGTTGTGTGTTGAATTGGGTTCTCCAAAAAGATATGATGAAATCCTAATCCCCTGTACCTGTGAATGTGACTTTATTTGAAAATAGGGTCTTGTTTGTGACCAAGCTGGGCAACGTGGTGAGACCTCGTCTCTACAATAAATCAAAAAATCAGCTGGACGTCTTGGCGCCCACCTGTAGTTCCAGCTACTTGGGAGGCTGAGGCAGAAGGAGCGCTTGAGCCCAGCAGGTCAAGGCTGCGGTGGCTGGGAGCATGCCACTGCACTATAACCTAGGTGATAGAGTGAAACACCAACTCAAAAACAAAACAAAAAAGAAATTAGGGTCTTTGCAGATGCAATCAAATTAAGATGAGGTCATTCAGTGGGCCCTAATCCAATCTGCCTGCTGTCTTTATAAAAAGCGGAAATGCCATGTAAAGAGACACACAGGGAGGAGGCCACGTGACAACAGGCAAAGATCGAAACCCTGCAGCTGCAAGCCAAGGAATGGCAGGGACGGACAACCATCACCAGAAGCTAAGAAGAAACCAGAGAGGATTCTACCCAGAGTTCCAGGGAGAGCATGGCTCTTCAATAACTTCATTTCAGACTTCTGGCCTCTGAGCCTGTGAAAGAATACATTTCTGTTGTTTTAAGCTACTCAGCGTGTGGTACTTTGTTATGGAAACACAAGGAAATGAATCCATTCTCCATATCTTGCCCCTGCTCTGGGTTAGGCCTCTCACCTGAACCCCGCTGACCTCCCACCCCCAGGCCTGCCCTTAGAAGCCATCCACCTGTAGCCTGAGGCTGGTCTCTACTCCACGGTACCCACTGCCCTCGGGGAGAAGCCAGCCCACTACCTACCTCTGAGACTTCACACATGCTGTTCCCTCTACTGTGAGGGCCCCTTCCCTTTGCAGTTTTCCAAAACAAGCTCTTCCCTGAAACCAAGCCCATGGGCTAGTGTGGGGGCCCCTGGGTTCCCACAGCTGCCTGTGCTTCCCCATCTGAGCTCTGCTCACCCAGGATGCAACTGTTGATTTGCTGGTCTTTCAAGTGCCTGGTAGTGGGCTCCTCCAGGACAGGCACTGGGTCTTATTGTTACAACTGGCTTCCAGTGCAAGGCCAGTGCCTGGCACACAGTAGATTCTTAATAAATGTTGAAAGACAGAGGAAAGAAAAATAGGAAATGGGAAAGATGAAAGAGAGGAGAGAGGAAGGGAGGAAAGGAAGAAGGAAGGAAGGAAAAAAAGAAGGGAGGGAAGGAGAGAAGAGAGGGAGAAATTTTTAACCCTTGAGAGCCTTCCAGAGCTAACCAGGGCCCCATTTCCCTGGGAAGGAGAACACATCAGCCAATGCACACGTGTGCAGGCATGAGTTCATGGGTGAAAACCCATGTGACACTGGGATGGAATAGGTCAGGTAGTTTTGACAGGGATAGGTAGAGGCAGGGGTCCCAGGTGGTACTTGCTCTGGAGAGTGGGCAGGCCCCGGGCAGGCCAGGAACAACCTGGAAGCACCAGAAAGAGGTAGAGAGGACAAGAAAAGAGAGGTGGCCCTTCCCGGTTTCCCTTGCCAACCCATCTTTGGTACTTTCTCATTGAGCACCTCCTGTGTACAATGCACTGTGGGTGTGTGGGGTGCTGGGATAAAAGTGTACCATGATGAACCAGACCCTCAAGGAGCCCAAGCGGCGGACCCACGGTCACAATAGCCAGGCAGATGGAAGGTGACAGTGGGGTGTGGGATTTCAGGGGATGGGGGTGGGATTTCACTTCTCAGCAAAAAAAAAAAAAAAAAAAAAATCAGAATGGACCTCACAGAAGGAGGCATTTAAAATTGCCCTTGGCCTGAGCCCATGGGTTTGAGACCCACCTGGGCAGGCGAGACCTCATCTCTACGATAAATCAAAAAAATTAACTGGGTGTGGTAGCGCGCGCCTGTAGTTTCAGCTACTTGGAAGGCTGAGGTGGAAGGATCGCCAGAGCCCAGCAGGTCGAGGTTGCGGTGGCTGGGAGCGGCCACTGCACTCCAGTCTGGGCGACAGTGAGACCCCAACTCAAAAAATAAAAAATAAAATAATAAAATAATAAAAATAAAACTGCCCTTGAAGGAGGCAAGGGTTGGGATGCAGGGTGTGGCAAGAAAGGGCATTCCAGGGAGAGGGAACAGCAAAAGAAGCTGGAAGGGAATGGAAGAGGCAAGGGGCCTGGGAGGTGAGCAGGGGAAATCAGGTTGGGAAGGACCCAGAAGAGCCTTGCAGCCCAGGCTAAGGCATTTGTTTTTCCCGAGGGCAGGAAAGAGCCAAGAGAGGCTTGGTAGCAGAGAAGAGATGTACTCAGAAGCCAGCTTCAGATGAGCCAGGGATGCCAGGGGTAGGAACCTAAGGAGAAGGGGTCAAGAGCCTAGACAAAGGAAGAAGCAGGGAAGAATTCCTGAATTTGCCCCTTGTGGCTAAAGCTGTAGTCTGTGGGTGTGTGGGGTACTGGGGAGGCCCCGCCCCACAGCAGAGGCAGATCTGAAGGAAGACGACTGAGGGGAGATGATCCCCAGGCTGAGCAAGGCCACTCACATGCCTGGCTCTCCCTGATGCCTGGCCAGTGTGATACAGTGTCCTGAGTAAACACCAGGACCAGACAGTCCTGATTGTCACTCCATTGTTGTGTGGCCTCAAGCAGCTGCCTCCCTCCTCCAGACTCTGTCAGAAGGGGAGGAACAGACTGCGGCCCACAGAGCACATGAAGACTTTGGCCTAGAACCTGACACATGGCCCAACAAATGGTCCCTGATGAGAGCTGAAGCTGGCACTGCCCTGTCTGTGTACCCCCAACCTCACCACTCCCCAGCAGCACCTGCAATTCTCTGCTTGAGAACTTTCTCTGGCCTTCTGAGTCATACACACAGCAGGCCAGGCATGCCAGCAGAATTGGCAGCTCCTGGAGCAGCCCTCAACCGAAGACTGTCCAGAGTGGGATTATAACTCCCCCAGCTCCCCCGACTCCACCGCTTAAGGGGGGAAAACTCTGAGGGTTGTGTTCCATGCTGTCTCCCAAGTCCCCACTAGGATTGAGCTCTTCCATACAGTGAAACCCTCTGTGTACAGCTGTTTTCCACTCTGTCTCACTTCCTCCCTCCCCTACTTGTGTTGCCCAGGTCACTTCTCAAATAAATTCCTTGCTCAGACTCCTTGTCTCAGAGTCAGCCTCTGGGCAACCCAGACTAAGATAAGCACCTACTGTGTGCCATGCCCTGTACACACAGCATGAACTCAAGTGTCCTCTCGGGCTCTAACTTTCTGCAGGTCTAGGAGGTGGTGGGACAGACGTAGCCAGTTGTCCCTCTTCACCCTTCATCCTGGCCCCCAGGCCAGGTGTGACCCAGCTCAGGGTTGCACATCCACCTTCTTGGGTTTGGGTCTGGGAAGCCTCTTCCTCAACCCTGAAGCCATGTGTCCTAACAGGTGTGATGAGTTATAGGCAGTTGCTCTGGCCATGTTGGGTAGGAGATGGAACCTGGAACACATTAGGGCACAATTACTGTTCTCTGTTGGGGGTGAGAGGTGGCCTGCTCTGGCTCAAGGAGGCATCTGATGGGACCACAGAAGTAGAGAACAATGCACTGAGAGGCAGGGTGGACGGCAGCCTCCATGTGTGTGACATCAGGTGGTGTCAATTTCAACATGCCATGTCCACGCTGAGGCAAGCATCACTGTCCTCATTTTACAAAAGAGGATTTGAACTGAGGTCCAGATTTGAGTCCAGGGGCCAGTTCCTCAAGCACCTGGCAAGGGCTGGGCCCCATGAGTTGCCCTGAGGCAGACAGGAAGAGGAGAGACTTTCTGGGCAGGGATAGGTGTGGGTGGGGCTGCTGGCTTAGGTGAAAGACAGGTGACCTGGAGGGGCCTGGATTCAGGAGCAGTGAGGGCAACATGAGTGGACAAGTAGGTGACCTGAGCCCATCACAGGAAAAGTCGCTGGCCCAGGTAAATTGAGGGAGAGAGCCCTACACCATCCTCAGTTTCCCTTTCTACCCCAGAAAGGGCAGGCCCTAAGATGCCTCAGGTGCCCTGAGCTCTGCAATTCTGGTTCTCTTACCAATTCTGAGGGTCTTAATGACTTAGAGGGGAGAGTGCAGTGGCACGATCATAGCTCACTGCAGCCTCGAACTCCTGGGCTCACTTAGTGGAATTTTAAACAAGCAATAGTTCACTGTTCTTTGTGCTGCTGAATTCCAAGGCAGTGTAATATAAAGTTGTATGTTGGTAACTTGACTCCTTTCTTTAGGAATTTGATGAATGTGTTACTAATGTATAGCAGTACAAGAAAATGTGCTTTTTGTCCATGGGAGACAACAGGATGAAAAGCAATTAAAGATAAATATCGGCCAGGCTCAGTAGCTCAGCCTGTAATCCCAGCACTTTGGGAGTCCAAGGCAAGTGGATTGCCCGAGCCCATGGGTTCAAAACCAGCCCAGGCAACTTGGCGAGACCTCATCTCTACAACAAGTAAAAAATTAGCCAGGTGTGGTAGCACGCGCCTATAGTTTCGGCTACTTGGAAAGTTGAGGTGGAAGGATCGCTGGAGCCCAGCAGGTCGATGCTGGGGTGATCATGAGTGTGCACGGCACTCCAGCCTGGGCAACAGAGTGAGACTCGAATTCAGAAGAAAAAGAAATAAAGATAAATTAATAAAGTTGGGAAGGGAGAGAAGTTACCATTCAAATCTAGCCTAAGAATTGTTACGGACTTTAAAAGTTGTGTTTCTTGAATTGTACAGACTTTCAAAAGAAAACTGAAAGTGCAAAGAAATAAAGTCAGGGACAAAAGTTGTTCAAGGGTGAATCCAGACCTGAATCATATCTCAATAAAGCAGTTAGTTTAAAAAAGAAAAGTTCAAGTAATTGATCTTAATTCCTGTAAGTATCTAATATAAAATTCTTAAAAATGAAAAGAAAGAGGTATGTTCTGTATCAGGAAAAGGACATTTTGCTTAGGACAGGGATGCATCCTCTTACAAGACAATTGAGGTTAAGAATTGCTCATATTAGCCGGGCTTGGTGGCTCAGCCTATAATCCCGTGCCTTTGGGAGGCTGAGGTGAGTGGATTGCCTGAGCCCGCGGGTTCGAGACTCGCCTGGGCAGCGAGACCTCATCTCTACAATAAATCAAAAAAAATCAGCCAGGCGTGGTAATGCATGCCTGTAATTCCAGTTACTTGGAAGGCTGAGGCGGAAGGATCACCGGAGCCCAGCAGGTCGAGGCTGCGGTGGCTGGGAGTGGCCACTGCACGCCAGTCTGGGCAACAGAGTGAGACTCCAACTCAAAAAAAAAAAAAAAAGAATTTCTCATATTGACTGAGCAGGTCACATCACTGTTTCCAGCCTCAGTTTCCTCACATAAGGAATGGAATAATAATAGTATCATGTCAGAATGAATTTAGTGCTTAGTGCAGAGCCAGACACTCCTTTGTGTTCCTGAAGACAAAGGTTATCAGCTCAATTGGGGTGGGAGGCTCAGAGAAGGTCCTTTGAGGTTTCATTTGGCCGCCGAGAACAAGACCCAGAGAGAAGGGAAGTAACTCAGGCAAGACCACACTGGGGCTGCTGACTCTTTGTCCAGTGCTCTTTTCCTTATCGCGTTCTTTAGTGTTGAAAGCTGGTGACATCCACCCAGGAATGTGACTTCAGCCCTTAGACCCTGCAGGGTAGGCCTGGGGCCAGTTGAATGGTCTCAACCAACTCCTGGGCCCTGTCCATGAAGGATCCTCTCCCACACCAGGCTAAGCCACCCCTCACTCAGGTCTGGATGATGGGCTCTACACCAGATTCGTGATTCACCAGCTGGCTTTGCCATTCACTGGCTGTGTAACACTAGGCAAGTTGTTCAACCTCTCTGAGCCTCAGATTCTGCTCAGCTTATCTTTCCACCTGATCTGTGCAACTTATCTTCCCACCTGACCTGGTCTGGAGGTTTCCTAAGCATGAAGATCAGGGCCCTAAAGAGGGTCCTTCCCTGTCCCCAGTCCTGAGGGAAGAGTCAGGCTCACAAATCCTCTCTGTGTTTAATCACACTGAATTCTCTCTGCTGCTTTGTGCAACTGGTTTGTTATCATTCCAGTTCCCAGAGGGAGAAAGGAAACTGCCATGACTTGGTCCAAGTCCTGGTTCTCCTCGCCTTGGTGGGCCCTCTTCACCCAGATATTCCTTTCCCCAAGGACAAGCAAGACCTGCAGGACTGAGGGAGACTGGCCAGCCCTGTGATAGCATCAAGGCATCAGGAGTCCCTCTGCCCTGGGTCTCTTGCCTTCTATCCTCAGTTCCGGGAATGCATTCAGGATGTGCTGTCTGCCCTGCCCAATCCTGATGACTCCTTCCTCCTGTGCTGGCTCTGAGGTGAGGATAGAGGATGGTGGTGAGGGAGTGGCAACGGCACAAAAAAGTAGTGTATTAGGTAGCTGTCGTGTAATAAATTACTCCAAAACACTGCTGTTTAAAATAGCCACTCCCGCTGGGCTCGGTGGCTCAGCCTGTAATCCCGTGCCTTTGGGAGGCTGAGGTGAGTGGATTGCCTGAGCCCGTGGGTTCGAGACCTGCCTGGGCAGCGAGACCTCATCTCTACAATAAATAAAAAAATCAGCCGGGCGTGGTAGCGCATGCCTGCAATTCCGGCTACTTGGAAGGCTGAGGTGGAAGGATGGCCGGAGCCCAGCGGGAGCGGCCACTGCACTCCAGTCTGGGTGACAGAGTGAGACTCCAACTCAATAAATAAATAAATAAATAAATAAATAAAATAGCCACTCCCATTTATTATCTCCCATGGTTTCCATGGCCAGGAATTATGGAGAGACTTAGCCGGGTTGTTCTGGCTCAGAGTCTCTCATGAGGTGGCAGTCAAGATGTCAATCAGGGGTGCAGTCATCTGAAGGTTTGACTGGGGCTTTCAAGATGTCTTACTATCTGTCAAGTCATTGCTGCATCGCTGGCTGTTGGCAGGAAGCTGCAGGAGGCTTCAGTTCTTCCTTATATGGGCCTTTTCATAAGACTGTTTGAGCATCCTCACAACATGGCAGCTGGCTTCCTCAGCATGAGTGTTCCAAGAGAGCGAGGAGGAAGTGGCAATATCTTACAACCAAGTCTTCTGAGTCACATTCCATCATTCTTGCATTATCCCGTAGGTTATACAGTTCAGTCCTGCATAGTGTGGAAGCAAACTGTCAAAAGAGAAAATTAGAACACATTTAAAGATTGGCTTTATTGCAATTCTAGAATCAGGCAACAATTCACTTTATAAAATAGAATAAATACTCCAAAAAGTCAAGCAGAGGCGGTTGGTTTTATACACAGAAAAAGGGCTGAAGAAAGCAGAAACATAACAAAAAGCAGATTGGTCATTTTAAAGTTACTTTTCTTATAAGCCAAGGACAGAGAGCCAGAACAATAGAGAGATGATTGATTGATTAAATCAGGTGACTTCAGGTTCTCTTTGTTGTAAGAATTCAAACAGAGGGAACCTCATTATCATTCCAGCCGAAGATTAAAACTGGCCTGTTTGTGAAATTAGGCCGTTATCTCTTTCTTGTGATTTCCCATGAAGGCCAGATAACAACTCAGTTTCAGCTTCATAAGTATGAGGGATTCCATTTTGATTTTTAGTCTGGTCTATTGGGGCCTAGTGTGGAAGTTGAGTCCAAAACAAAGACCTCCTCTAATTTATGTTTAACAGAACTAAACAGAGGAGAGAATATTAGCAAGTGAAGATCACTGACGGCCATCTTGGAGGTGGCTAGTACAAGGAGTAGTAATAATTACTGCCATATTTGGGGCACTTATTCTGTATCGGGTACCGGCTAAAGCCATTTTTATTTGCTTTTGATTTCTCCTCCTTCTCCTACTCTTTCTCCTTCTCCTTCTTATTCTTCCTTTTCTTCAACCCTGCTGGGCCAATACCATTATTAGCACCATTTTTGGCAATAAAAGAAACCGTGGCTCAGAGAGGCTAAGCCACATGACCAAAGTCACCAAACTAGCAAGTGACAAAGCCAGGCCAGTCTGACATTAGAGGCCAATTGCTTAACATCTTCCCAGAGAGTTTGGGGACCAGGGTAAGGAAGAGATTTGCTCTTGGCTCTTGAGATAAATATCAGATAAATGCATAAATGCACAAACAGGAGACCCTTTCTCAGTGCCCTGAGAATGTGGCTATAACTTCCATACTCAAACTCCTTCCCGATAGGGTAGGACTGGGATTGGTTTTAGTTGCTGTGAGGAAACCACTATGAAACTGTGTTGATCATCACACCAACCCCAACCAGTACAGGATTCCACAGGGAATTCATACCACTGAATGTAGAGAAAAGAGCCCAGAATACTTAATATGTGATGAGCAGCCTATGTAAAACCTGTGAGGGCAACTTGCCTCTGAGCCTGGTATGTACTTTATAAGTTAGGACACAGTTGCCAACAGGATTTCCCAGCTCATCTTTGCTCAGACAGTTCCCTCCACCTAGAATATCCTCAGAAAATAATCCCGATTAGAGTCCCAAAGACCTGGGTCTAGCCCTCCTCCCCATGCCTTAGGGTTTTTTGTTTTGTTCTGTTTTTACAGATAGGATCCCACTTGTCTTTATGAGAAAAATCAAAAAATTAGTTGGGCCTGGTGGTGCACACCTGTAGTCTCAGCTACTTAGTAGGCTGGAGTGGGAGGATCACTTGAGCCCAGGAGTCCGAGGCTGCAGTGAGCCATGATGGTGCCACTGCATTCCAGCCTGGGTGACAGAGTGAGACCCCAGCTCAAAAAAGGAAAAAAAAGAAAAGCACAAAGAGGGTTATACAAGTCATCTGTAATCCCACCACGGCCATGAGGTAAATTTACATATAATTTATTTTAACATAATTGAGCTCATACACTCTATACTGTTTTGTTTTTACAGATAGGATCTCACTTGTCTTTATGAAAAAAATAAAAAAATTAGTTGGGCCTGGTGGTGCACACCTGTAGTCTCAGCTACTTAGTAGGCTGGAGTGGGAGGATCACTTGAGCCCAGGAGTCCGAGGCTGCAGTGAGCCATGATGGTGCCACTGCATTCCAGCCTGAGACCCCAGTTCAAAAAAGGAAAAAAAAGAAAAACACAAAGAGAGTTACACAAGTCATCTGTAATCCCACCATGGCCATGAGGTAAATTTATATATAATTTATTTTAACATAATTGAGCTCATACACTCTATACTGTTTTTTTTCACTGAGTATTTTGCCCAAGTCATTAAAAATGCTCTTCTTCTCCAGTATAATTGTGTGACTACAGAAAGTTCTGGGGGTGACTCTGGGTGATTGATTTAAATTCTCCCCATTTGGTAGCCCTATTTTCTTCTGGACAAAGCTGGCTCTATCTGCTCCATGAACTAGTCAAATTATATAGATTTAAAGATTGAAGCCAGGTGTAGTGGCTCGCACCTGTAATCCCTGCACTTTGGGAGGCCAAGGTAGGAGGATAGCTTGAGCCCAGAAGTATGAGACCAGCCTAGGCAACAACAAAAGACCTCATCTCTACCAAAAAAAAAAAAAAAAATCAGCTGGGAATGGAAATGGTGTCACGTCCCTTTAGTCCCAGCTACTCAAAAGGCTAAGGTGGAAGGATTGCATGAGCACAGGAAGTAGAGGCTGCAGTGAGCTTTAATTGTGTTACTACACTCCAGTCTGGGCAACAGAGTGAGACCCAGATTGAGGACAAATATTGAAAGGGTCTGGGGACAGTGGGAGGTGAAAACGGGGTCAGGCTTCAAGTGACAATGACGCAAGATGTCAGCTACTGCGGGCTTCACAATTTATGAAAACTGAATATACAGCCTTAAAATAGAATGTGGACCTAAGTACCCAGAAGCACCCTCCCTTTATAAGATTTGTAACAAAAATTAATATGAATGGAGTTAATAGTTCTAATGGAGTGGTGGGCCCCAGAACTATAGCAGTGCCAGCAAAATGACATAATTCATATAGCATCAAAGTGTCCAGCAAGAGCTTCAGCGCCTAATGATGTCTAAAGAGAATATGAAACTCCCTAGGCTGCCTGAAAGACAGTGTTATAAGCAGTTCATCCAAAAGAAAACCACAGGCCCCTCCCCTTCCCCTTCCTTCCGTTCGATTGAAGTGGTCTTCATTTTCCGCAGTGGTTCGTTCTCTGATACATCTTGTAGACCTCGAAGTACTGGAAAGGAAGTTCTCATTGAAAGGTAATTTATATGGAAGGCTGAGGTGGAAGGATTACCTGAGCCCAGCAGGTCAAGGCTGTGGTGGCTGTGAGCGTGCCACTGCACTCCAACCTGGACAACAGAGTGAGACTGCTACTCAAAAAAAAAAAAAAGGCAATTTATCTTAAGATACTGTAAATGATACTAATTTTTTTGTCCATTTGAAATATATAAATTGAGCCGGGCTCGGTGGCTTAGCCTGTAGTCCCGTGCCTTTGGGAGGCTGAGGTGAGTGGATTGCCTGAGCCCGCGGGTTCGAGACCCGCCTGGGCA